GTATTCTTCTACATATCATATTAACGTTTATTCAACCGACTTTAGCACTGATTAACCACTGTAAATCTGTTTCACTATCGCTTGAAGAATAAATAATCGTGTTGCGCAACAGTTTTCTGTTGTTGCACGTCGGCTACAGTGCCTAGTGTACAGAGTATTAAGCTTGTGTGTCTGTCTGTCTGCTTTCGACATAGAACTTTGCACCGATGTGCATCAGTTCAAATCGCCTCACTCCCTCCTTGTAGCACATAAAGCAGGAGAAGAAAGTATGAGGGCATGCAAAATAGAGACAGCAAACACAGATATGAAGCAAAAAGAATAGTAATATCGAAGAACAATATGGTTTTATTGGGTATGATAAGTTACAAGGAATGGATGCCTCTGCGCCAGCCATTGGGAACGACTTTGAGCAATATCACCAATTGTTTTCAGCCATTGGATTTTACCGTCCCGAGGACTACAACCAAGAAGTTTACACCTTCCTACGTGGCTGGCTGGCTTAAACTAACTGCTGTGAATTTCATTGACTGATACAGCCATATTTTGGTTTGACCGCCGCTAGCTCTATTCCAACCTGACCCTATGTCAGCTAACATTGCCTATTCGTCAGTCGAGGAAGGCGATGACTAGGCACACATGCATAACACATGTCCTAACCATCTCAGTCAATGTAACTTCACAGCCTCGTCGACTGACTAGCAATCGACCGAAGCCTAACCTCAATAGTGCTCACCCTATTATACCACTTAGCACACACAAGAGATAGAACTCAGGCACCTATGATCAAAGATAGCTAGCTAGCCTTTTCATGTCTTCCGCTCTCAATGGCCAGGTCTCACAGCCAGCTAGCCATAAAGGAGGACGGTGCCGACTGCTGAGCAGTACACTCGCCTTTTGGTCGATAGCCAACTAGATATCATGTCTACGTCTAAGCTTAATCTTCTGAAACCAGCAATAGATCCAGGATCTCAGCAATCTGGATATATTTGACAGTTAACAAAGTCCTAAGACACTAATAAATAATCACATATGATGACAAAAGTAACCATTAGTTAACATGAACACCCAAAAACACAAAATCGACAATATCTGTATATAATAATTAGTTTGAAAATAACTATCAATTAGAGAAATCCTATTTTTTTGGGAGGGATACAGAGGGAGGGGGCGGTTGTGGAGAAGTTCACAAAGGACACTGAAAACAAAAAAACTTTTCCCTCACACTGAGCTCGAAAGAAATCCTGAATTTTTTGACAACATAACAAAAAAATAAAAATAAATCATATTTCAGACATATAATTTCCCTATTTTCCCATTTATTTCTCAGAGAATATATTCTTTCATGAAATATATATTCTTAGACACATACCTATTAATGACTCTTGAGGTGGTAGAAGAAAGGGAGAAAAAAATTCTCGAGAAGTGTCATTAAATTAGGCTAAAAAAACTGAGTGGAGAAATAGATTTATTGAGCTTACACCAAAACTACTCATAAGTAGTATGGGATAAATTAGACAATACTTTCTTGGATTGTCTGGTCAAACAGATGATAAACATCTTCAGAAAGCCTACACACAATCGGAAAAATACCTACCTAGATTACAATTTAGCACACACACACACACAGACAAACATCATTATGACCAAAGTAACTTTGGCCAAGAATCCTATGAATAGAACCAAACGTCCAGTTTACTGAGGAAGAAGAGACCAACAAGGAATTGGTTCAGTCTTCTCTTGAATCAAATAATGACCACCAAAGCCTTTTCCATCAAAGAATATTTAAAGAGCAAAGAGACGGATGAATAGAAACCTGATGTGCTAAGAATAGGATTAGTACTGTGGTGATTCCTTACTGCAAACAGACATCTAATGAAATAAAGGGAATCCTTAACAATCATGACATAAGAGTCCATTTTCGTACGACGTTTACACCTTACGCTTCTCATCAATCGTGAAGGTTAAGAATACCAACAGAACTGTGTGAACCAAATAAATTGTGGGGATTATGACACCGTATAATGTAGGAGGGACTTCCAGACACGTCAATATTGTATGAGTACAAGAGCATTAACAATGTCTAAAGGTGGTTCCAAAGACCTCTGCAGATTTGGAGAAGATAGAAAACAGATCGGTGATTGCACTACACTTGAAAGAAACAGGGCACAAGATAGACTTTGGTAAGGCCAAGGTTCGCAATTATTAATATTCTCTGAACTGGTTGGTTTCGTCGCGGAGCTTTCGTTGTCCCCCTGCTGGACAACATCTTCAGCGCAGTATTTAGCATAAAGTGGAATGATTTAAATTTTTCTTCATGAGTGATATAATTGCGTATCTCGGTAACCATCTTTACATATGTATTGACCATTTTCTATTGACTTGGATTTTAAACTTTCTGGCCACCCGATTTACTTTTTATTAGTTGGTATATTTGGTCTACTTCCCCCTACGGGCATTACTAGCTGATATAGGTGCAGGTTGGAAAAGAGTAAGTGGTGGCCAAACAAAAACATGACATCAATCCATGAAATCCTTGACAGTTAAACTGAGTCAGGTAGGGAGATGCAGACTTCCGGGTGGGGCCCTCAGGACTCTAGGAATCAATGGCTGGAGACAATAGGTGACATGGCTCAAAATCGTTGTCAATGGCCAGTGCAGATGTATTCAGTCTCTGTAGTCTTTCATATTCCTTTCTACCATTACCCATTCTGTTTCACTCTTATACTTGTGAGACTCTGTTAATTGTCTCCACTTATCTTCTTGTCTACCTTTGTGTGCTATTTGGAACGTGGCAACTCGAACTGGTGCACTTCGGTGCGAAGTTCTATGTTGAATCCAGACAGACAGATATTTGGTCCATATTAACGTGTTTGTTAATTGCATATTGGTTTGAGTACTAGGCTTCTAGGAATTCCCTGGCACTTTTGGTGTTTCCTCTGTCTAAGATTTCGACATTATCCTGATCAAATTGATGTCCATAATTATCTATATGCATTGATATGAAACAGGAATATATCATGTCTTTTCACGGCTGATTTGTGTTCCTGGATTCTGATTAGAAGGCGACGCCCACTTTGGCCGATGTAATGCCTGTTACAGTTCATACACGCAATTTATTTTGTAAATGATATTAATTTGATCTCCTTGTATTGTTGGATATTTCGGTTTGCACAATATCGAATGAAGTGATTGTGTTGGCTGGCTGGCTAGCTGGTTGGCTTGTGTGTTGTATCTATTTCAAACGGTCTTAGTATTCTAGCTATTAGTTATTTCACAGAGATTTTTGTTTTATATGTGGTAGGATGTTGGCTTGTGGTTGGTCGTGTTATGACTTCAGTTTAAACACACTTTTTGATGAAATAGTGGTGAGGGTATTCATTCATTTTGAAGACAGTTAGTAGGTATTTCTCTTTCACTGTCTTCAACACTCGAGTAGTACTACAGTGTGTGTGTTTGAACACATTCCTAAACAACGTCTACACACAGTTTCTTTTATGAGTGATTGGCTTATTACTATTATAGTTGAGTATTTAGTGTGTGTGTGTGTGCATTGATTTTCTAAGCTCACCTGTGTTTCTAAATCTCTTGTATTAATTCTCTTGATTAAGTGAGGTATCTAAGTAAAAAATTATATTTTGTAAAACCTCAGCAAGATTGAAATGCTTAATTCCAATGTTTCCTGCGTTCGGCAATCTGGTCCGAACTTCTTCAGAGAAATTAATCGAAATTAACATAACAGAGGTTTATATATGCAAAAGGAACATCTCTTGTTTTTAAAAACTTTTTCCGATCATATGAGTCATGAAAGAGTCATTAACATGTATAATAAACAAAATTGTACGAGTTGTGATCAAAATTTGACCTCAGACTTACAAATATTGATCTACCTTTGTTAAACACTTTAAACACAGTGTGTATGTGTGTGTCCGTGTGCGGATAAACAATTGTAAAACAATGTCTTAGCGTCTCCATAAGTAGATATCGACAGTCAGGAACTTTGACCAAGTATTATTAGTTAGTGATACATATCCATTCTTATTTATTAATCAGGATTTCCTATGCCTCAGCTAACATCATACCTTCATGTCTGTTCAAACTGTTAGTATCTAGAATTTTATGATTAGACGTATTTTCGAAATTATGGTGTTTAGGATTAGAGTTTACTTGAAGCACCCTGTCAAACTTATCACTTTGTCTTTTTTCTGAAAATTGAGCTGATTTATTCGACCTACTGAAGTTGTCAGGTGACTGGACAGCTACGAATTTAGGATACGCATTATTCTGTTGCAGACAACGGAGAGTGGAAACACGATGATGATTGTGCCAATTAGCATAGTTTCTTTGTTAGTTTAATTCGATTGCAAAATAAATCAAATAAAGACATCTAAGAATGGGATTTTGTTGTCGTCTAATTCTTCGTCTCCTTCTCCTGTTGTGTGAATTTTGACGCCTTCAAATATGTTATTTATTGATTTATGAGTATATTCCAAATCACATGCGTTTTAATTCCTACAAATGTATCATCAAAGTGATGAGCCCAGATGTTTTGGTTTAATTATGCTTGGTAGGGCTATTTGTATTGTGTATTGTGGAGGTTTTAAATGGAGGGAACACGAAAAACACAGTCAGGGAATCCCTACAAGCCTCATAGTCAGGTGAATCATCCAGTGATTAACAAACACACATTACCTCGATAGACCAAACTTATCATCACATGACAAGAAGGCTAGAATTCCAAGTCAATAACAGAAATGATCAATAGAGATGTAAATTAACAACCAATCACGACAGTAACTGCCAAGAGATACAAATATATCATGATTCATGGAGAATTTAAATGAACCTGCGTTGAATCGATGTTGTCTAGAAGGGGGAGGGGATGATGAAAGCTTCCCAATTAAATCAACTGCCCAGCTCCTCAGAGAACACAACCAATTCAAGATCAGATTTTAAAAGTGATTTCTGTTTTGCAGAGGATAATCAACATCATCACAACTTACATTGAATGCATCACGAAGTTCATCATCAGGAGATTTTGATCGTTGATTCTGTGAATATCTTCGCATCATTCGGAGAAATTCATCAAATTCCACTGTTCCGTTACCTAAAAGAATAACACAAGTGAAAAAATAAAAAAGAATAAGTGAAAATCAATAAAATTACAATAATATAGTATATATATATATATACTATTATAATCAATATTATCGCCAAAGACTATGGGTAGTGAGAAGATATTGCATACACTGAATCGATTAGGGGATTCTAGAAGATCTGGACTTTGCGGATGACTCATGTTTAATGTCACACACAGGAACTCGAAGACTTACAGGCGAAAACCAACAAAGTATCTGAAGAGGCGAGGTAGGCAGAGAAGACAGGACTCCAGGTGAACATCAAGAAGACGGAAGTGATGAAGATAACGAACCAACCAACCAACCAACAGCGCAATAGCAACCAGCAACAATCCCCATCAACAAGAGAGATTTGACAGAGGTTAATTCCTTCAGGTATCCGGCTAGGAAACACAATTTCGACCGCAGGCGGACACCACGGATAAACATATCAAAGCAAGCAAGCAAGCCAGAATAAGAAAGGTGAGATACACCTTTATCAGCTTGAAACCAGTTTGGAAGTCTTCTGCACTCACTCACTCACTCACTCACTCAACCAGTCAGCCAGCATAAACAACAGGATTCGGATTTTCAATGGAAATATTAAGCTAGTCACTGATTCTATGTGAGTCAGGAACTTGGTATGCGTGTTACAAAAACATTTCCAACAAGACACTAGAGACTTTTTATTATGTACTCGTCGCCAAATTATTGTTATGTACTGGTCGAGAATTTAATAGTCCTGAAGCAAGAAAGACGGAAATCAGAAGACCGCTAGGTTTGCGATGATACTTCTATTTTCCAAAACACAAGGAGAATCAATGTGTCACACAAGAGTGTGAGAGCAAAATATATATGAGTGTCCCAGCAAGTGTGTGAGGGAATATTCAAAATGAACAAATCAATTGACAGTCTTAACATGATTGGCTAATTATAATGTAATATCGATCCATATATACATAGCAAAATATATCAGACTGTCAAACAAAACACACACTTTATATGGATACATGTCACCAAGAACAGACTGTCAAACAAACACACATTATATGGATATATATATCACTTTTATCAACATCTGCCCACTTCGCTGGATGGCTCCGTGCTGAAGATCAAATGGATGACCAGCCGGCCGGCCGGCCAGAAAGAAATAGCAACAATAAACTGTGCAGTGGAACAAACCAACAGGCGACAGCCGATTGCTCAACAAATGGATATGTAGGAGAAAATGGAGGTAGATAGATTCGGCCTATGTTGAGGAGGCCTTCGAATGATATAGCGCAAAGTGCGGACCACTGCTCGACTAGAATCCCAATTCGAAGTGAGAATTGGGTCGTCAATGCGAAGTTGATATCGAGGAGATCGTGTGGGCAGGAGGGGATGAGAGATTATGGTCAGTCATGGAGCCAACCAACTGAAGAGGACAACAGGGAATTGGACAAAGTGGAGATGTGTTGTTGAAGCCGTATATACCACCCAGCACCCGAGGAAATAATAAAAAAATTAATTAATTACAACTGATTAAAATAACTGACTACTGAATGTCACATGTGACATGCATTGTTGAACACTCTCCGACACTCACACACGCCAACCTCCCCGACACACACACACACACACACAGATACACTTAGACACAATTTAAAGCAATTAGTTCCCTTTATGAATTTCGACAACACAATAAGAAGACATAGTTTATCTAAAACGTGTAATGTATTGGCGAAACACATTTCGAACATTCTGATCACACACACACAAGTACTTGTCATACACAGTTTTCATAGAAGGCAAGATGACATGAACAATTACAATACAGGTCAGATTGTGTTCAGGTCAAGGTCACAAATGATGGGTAAGGAGACGCAAAAGGTGTCGGTAAGAAAGAGGAAAAGAGAAAAAGCAAGGCAAAGAGGAAGGGGTTGAAAATATTATGAAGTAATTTGATCGTTGGTTCTTACTTGGATTACCAAGGCAGGTTTAAGGTGGTAACAAATAACTTTTGGACACATAAGACAGGTTTAAGTCTTTTTATGGCTAAGGCTTCAATGAGTTCAAGTATGTGGCCCAACCTTGTTTTATATATCGGCTTAAAGGCATTGTTGAAATCAACCTTATGACCTGTCTCTATAATACGCTTCGCTATAGATGTTGTTGGACATCTATTTCCGGGGTCGATTGTATCTGGCGATTTCATTTGTTGTTGCAGCCACTTTGGAATGTTCCTTACCTTTTGGCGAAGTCTTCCCACTTTCGAAAATAATAATAATGATTTACTTTATTCCAAAAACAGTACTTGTGATACAGAATGGAATTTTCAGCATTAATCACAATATTATTGCATCTAATTTCCTCAAATTATAAATAAAATTAATCACACAGAAAATTTTCCACACTTACAATAGAGGTAGTGTCAAAAACATGCAGCATATAAAATGGAAATAGCAATAATAATGATAACAGCTAGGGTAATAATAATAAGAATACAAGTGAAAATTGCCGTGGGCTTGTGCCACACAGTATTGTCAATGTGGTATAGAAATCCTAACATGTTTAAAAATATTGAATATAATGTTCTTTCTACATGATATGGTGAGGGGAAAAACAAAGATAACAGCCGTCATGGAGATAAGTTGGTGTTTGCAATTATGAGAGTAAAACAGAGAAGTAACAGGACCATAAATATAATAGAAGTAATAAAAGTAAAACTTCAAGGTATATAAGGATGGATGGATGGAGGAAATTGTTTATTTACTAGATGAAAAAAGGTTAGTTAATTCTTGCCTGACACTATTTTCACTATCACATAAAATACGTGCCAAGTATGGTATCATAGAATTCTTATACTTAGACGTGCGAGCATACAGTTTTCTGAAGTTACTTCTTGTTCTACCTGAGGAGATGCAAGGTGAAAGCTGAGGGTAAAGCGTATTTGTTCGAAAGTGGGAAGACTTCGCCAAAAGGCAAGGATCCACCAGAGAATTTTGGAATGTGTTCTGCAGCCCTAACCTGCAGAGACCGATGGGTCCTTCCAATTTACGTGTCTCCACACATACATGTAAATTAATAAACACAGTAGGATGTGACACTATCGCTCGGATAATGCGAGGTTTTACACGACAGCATAGTTCTCGTTTTCTCTATGAAGATAAGTTGACCTGTATAATGGGTTCTATTAATTGTGGCCTTGAGTCTTTGTCTAGTGACTAGACTTTGTTGATCATCTCTGAACGGCAAGGATACGTAAACATCCTTTTTGGGAGCTGATTGGATTGGTAAAGCCCTATGGTTGACACTTCTTTAACGTCTAATAAATCTCAGTGGGTAATTGTTATCTAACAATATTTCAGTGAGGTGTTATCTTTCTTCTTCAATTGTATCAGCAGTACATATATGGTGAATGTGCTTGAACAAACACTTAAACAATGCCTTTTTATACTGTAGTGATAGATACTGTCCCGTTCATGTAGACTTTCTGTAAACAGATCGTTTTACTGACCCATCTTATCGGCGGCGGGTTATGAGTACATCTAAAAATGGCATGCAACCATTATTCTCTTTAACGTATGTTAGCGAAATACTGTTTGTGCTCCGTTGATCTGGTTCAGGACTTCTGTGGCGTCCATCGGTTTATCACAAATGACTATTACGTCAGCTACATATCTTTTATAATCCACAACGGGAAACTTACGGAAGTGAGGACAGCAGTGACACAAGGCTGTCTACTATCGTCAATGATCTTCCTGATTGCAGTAGATTGGATAATGCGACAGACAACGGGCAATGAGGAAACAGGCATAAAATGGACTCACACAAAAAACTTGGAGGATCTGGACTTCACTGATGATATATGTTTGATTTCCCACAAACCGGAAGATATGCAAGTGGAAAGCAACAAGGTGATAGAAGAAGCTTCAAAGATAGGACTTCAGGTGAACATAGATAAAACAGTGGTGATGAAGATTCCTGACCAACACCAACAACAATAATAGACAGCGGTCAGCATAAATGGGAGGAACCTGAAAAAAACAACCTCCTTTATCCACCCACCTGGGAAGCATCATTTCAACTACAGGCGGAACGATATGACGAGGATATCAAAGCCAGAATCGGAAAAGCAAGACAAGCTTTCATTACTCTTAAGTCTGTGTGGAGGTCAACAGCACTCAGCATGATAATGAAAATAAGATCCGGATTTTCAACTCCAATGTGAAGTCAGTGCTACTCACTATACGGATCAGAGACTTGGCGCGTCATAAATAGCATCTCAAACAAACTTCAGACCTTCATTAACAGTTGTCTTCGCTCAATACTCAAGATCAGATGGCCGGCCAGAAAAGATCAGCAACAAGGATCTCTAGCAATGAACGAACCAACCAGGAACCGATTGTGGAACAAATAGACAGGAAGAAATATAGATGGATTGGCTGGTCATACTCTAGGGAAACAAACCATCAAGTGACATCACTAGACAAGCCATTACTCGAGTGGAACCCAAAAGGTAAGCGGCGAGTTGATCGTCAGTGCGAGGGTGACTTGGAGGAAGTCATGTAAAGAGGAGATGAAAGCACGTGGGCAGACTTGGAGCGGGGTGAAAAACTTGGCAGAAAACGGAAGGCAATGGAGTTGCACAGCTGAAGCCCTATGTTCCTCTAGGAATTAAAGGATATAATAATAATAATATAATAATACATATCTTTGATAAAGATAAACTTTTCTAATTTTTTTCTCCACTAGGTTCTCGACATGCGAATATATATATATATATATATATATATATATATATATATATATATATATATATATATATATATCAGTTAACAATGGACCCAGGAGGCTTCCCATGGCAACCCCATTCATCTGGCGATAATGCTCGCCCTCGAATGTAAACTTAACATTGTTAGTACAAAGAAGCAGCAACTCTTTTAAGTAAGATATGAATACTGGTAAAAAGGAAATCGTTGTCAGAGATATAATCATCACATAAAATGTC